TGTCAGGAGGTACCAGTCACTGGAGAAGGATATCATGTTTGTTAAGGTGGAGGGTCAGAGAAAAAGAGGAAGACCCTCAACAATATGGATTGGCCAGGTGGCAGCATCGATGGACTCAAGCGTGGCAACAGTAGTGAGGTTGGTCCAGGGTAGGGCGGTGTTTCATTCTGATGTGCATAAGGTTGCTATGAGTTGGTACTGACTCGAGGGCACCTAACAACAAACACAACACTTTAGTTAGCCAGTGTCTAAGTTGCCCGTCCCTATCTACTCTGTCTACAGAGGAGATAGCATTGATACTTGATGTGAAGACTCCTTCCCTCTCTGTTGGTATTTAGAGGTAGTAACTCCATGAATATAGGTCAAGTTCACCAAATTGTAGCAGTTTACCCTCGTTTTCTTTATTAAGTCTCCATATTCTTGAAACAAATTGTCATTGAGTCACAGAACATAACTTTCTTGCACAATTACTAAGGTGACTAAAATGTCTTGTTTTTCATCATTTATGAAAACACAGGAGGAAGACTACTAAACATTTGGATTGTTGTATCTCATTTCTGAGGTTATTGGCTTTCCATCCCCTGTTCATTCTCTTAGCCTGTGTTTACTTCAATTTCTTCAAGAGAAATTCACCTAAGGCATAGTAAATATTATAAATCATGTATTATTATTGTTATTGTTAAGTGCCGTTGAGTTGGCTCCAACACATAGCAACCCTGTCTAGGGTTTCCCACGAGCAGCTGGTGAGTTTGAACCTCCGATCTTACAGTTCAAACCAACTTTTCAGTTCAGTGTACTAACCCACAGCGCCACACCAGGACTCCCTAAATCAAGTATAGATTATAATAATGAGTGCTTTAAAAGTATATATAGAAAAAAGTATATAAATGGATATATGGCTACATATTTATAAAAGTCATAATCTTGCAAATTCTGTAACACTGATGCCATTCAAACTTTCAAAGGTAATACATTTCTTTAGAGAAATGACCATCTTTACAATGTACTGTAGGGAATTCTGATTGCTAATAGGCAAAAAGTTACAAACTCAGGATACCTAACCCAATGCAAATAAATGAATTTATTACATAACCTAATTTCCTCATTGGAGATTTTTTTTAAAACTCTAATTAATGGGATGAGAATAAGGTAGTATATAGCTAGACCACTGGAATGTCTGAAACGTTTGCTTCCCTGAATTCACAACTAGAAAGACAAATCTTTTATTACCCTAACATTTACAAAAATAAAGATATACCTAACTGCTTCAAGACTCTTTTGGTCAAGTCTACTAGTGGACTGGGACTTAGAATTAAAAATACTTGGAGGGCTGTCATTGCTTCTTTTACTCTAGGTCCACACTGAGTGGTCTAACAGTTATTGGGTTAGTGATGTTGGTTAGCCATTACAGGAAACAGCCACGTAGAATATCTATATTTGGAGGAAGAACTAAGGCATAAGAAAGAGCTTGTCCCGATACCACAAGTAGTGCTGGTCTAAATGATCCGCTCCAGGCGTTGTCAGTTCTTTCTCATCAGCTGATAGATTTTCAGAGAAAGGCAGAGAGTTTGCCCTAGTGTCTAGAGTTGCTCACCCAGTTGTAAAAGATCAGCTTAGGGGGACTCTGAACAGGAGTACTGCTGTATGAATTGCTTGTCAGAGAGAGGAAGGAAGAGGAAGCAAAGAGAAGAAACAAGAAAAGAGCCTAAGCTAGTGCTTTCTTCCCTGAACGAATAGGTTTGTAGCCTTCCATGAGTATTTATGAAGGATGATCCCAAGATGTGACTCCCAGTAGAAAGGTACATACACCCTTAACATTGATGGGCCAGTAATTTGTTCCTCAAATCTGAGCAAACGTTGGTATCATGGCTGTACTTGGGGAATTAGGAGGGAAGCTGTGAATTTTTCTTTGTCAATATTTATCAGTGTCTGAGATTCTGAAATATATGCAATCTGTGAGTTCTTTAATAATATATTTTCCATTACTTTCTCCAAAAAATGTAGGTTTAATAGTGATAAAACATAAAAGTAAGAGAAAGTAGTTGAATCATCTGTTATCTGAGTAATGAACTCTGTATGCTCTGGGACAGTTGTTTCTTCCTCCCCCTTTTCCTTTTCCTACCCTCCCCCTCCCTCTTACCAGCTTAGCTTTTGTCTCCTGATTCTGATTTTTTTCTTTTCTGCCTCAAACCCAATCATGAAAGTAGCAACAAGTTCAGGGAGGGCCTTATAGGGCCCATTCTGTCAAGGTTCTCTCTGCCCTTCTCCCCTCCTCAAACATCTGATAGCATCATCTGTGAAAAGGACATGGACACATTCCCTGATAAAAAGGTAATGGGAAGGGAGAGTGTAGACTTTGTGTCCTGCAATTCTTCATAAATGATACAGACAACCCTTCCTTTACAAAAGTGGCTTAGACAGTTTTTGAATTATTGAAAGTATTTCTACATGATACAGAAATACAATCCATTATGGAAGAGAAAAAGTAGACTGAGCTCCTTGTCACAGGAGTGGTCTAGAAGGCTGTGGTTTTTTGAGAAATTATCTCTCTGAAGAAATGCATTAAAGAAAAGTTCATAAGCCTTTTTAAATTTTAAACCTCTTGTTTATTAAACTGTAGCATACATACAGAAAGGTGTACAAATCCTAAGTGTATAATGAACTAAAGGTTTACCATCTTTTGTGTAGTTAAAGTTTCTTCCCCTGAGACTGAGGAGAGAGACTCCTAATTTCTCACATTAGGGGGACTAGATTGGATGAACAAACCAAAACCTACCATGTCAGCTAGGCAATGTGGAGATTCTCCACTAGGGAGATTTAAAATCACTTTTGTTATACTATCTCACTGTTAGTCTCTCTCCCCTACCTACTTCCCCCCCCCCCTTTTTTTTTGTTCCTTTAAAAATAAAAGGAAAAACCTCAAGTTTTATCTGTGGGTTAACTGTCATTAGTGTCACCAGCAAATAGACATAAAGATTATGTATGTAAATCACTACCACTGATTGAATTTTGCCTCATCTGTTCACAATCATGAGTTAGAATTTTCTCCAAGCAAACTCTTGAGTGTTGGAGTAACAACTGTTGTTGGCATGTAACTACTACTTGTGACATCACTTATATATATGCTAGCTCACAGTTTTAATAAATTCTACTTTAAAAATTTTATTTAATACACATTGCCATGACTCAAAACCATTTTAAAAGTTATCTATGCCATTTTCACAACATTACTTCTGTTTTAATCTGGTCCAGGGACGTCAATAACTCCCTGTTGTTTGTAGGAATAAACCTGTCTTCTTTAATCTGGCCCTGAAGAATCTTTACACTGTACAATCTTACTGTCCAGCTTTTTGACTATTCTGTTTCACATCTCCCACTTCATTGTTGTTGTTGTTGTTGTTAAGTGCCGGCGAGTCAGTTCAGACTCATAGCAACCCTATATAAGGTTTCCTAGGAGCAACTAGTGGGTTTGAACTGTTGACCTTGTGGTTCCCAGCCCCATGCTGATCCACAGTGACACATCTACTTCATCAACAGAAGCTAATTTATAGGAAATACAAATCTATAGGCAGTCCATGAGTTATGAACGAGTTATGTTCTTATGTGTGTCTTTTAGCCAAAGTTATAGAAGAGTTGGAGCAGGTAAGGTACGTGTAGATCTTAGCTAGTCTTATTTTAGTTCTAGAGAGGAATCAGTCCAAGTACTCAGCTGCTAACTGAAAGGTCAGCAACTGGAAACCACCAGTGGGTATGTGGGTGAAAGATGAAGTAGTCTGCTTCTTTGAAGATTTACGGCCTTGGAAATCCTATGCGGTAGTTAATTCTACTCTTTCCTACAGGGTCAGTGTGAATTAGAATTGACTCAACCGCAGTGGATTTGGTTTGGTTTGCTGGTTAGTGCAAGAAAAGGCTCACAGTCTTTCAGTGATTTAAAATCTACCTGTTGCAAGTGAAAGCAATTGTGATGAAGAATTTGTTGCTATCAGCATTGGTTCAGTAGTTCCAAAGTGAGGCAAATTTACATAACACAAAGGGCAAGTATGAGTGGTCCATAAGTTGGATGGTTGGATGTTCATGACCCAGAAATGTACTATACTAATCAGGCTTAATGAGCGCTCAGTAAAAGTCTCCCGATTATCTTTTCAAGTTGATAGAGTGAGTTCAATTACTCTGATCTACATTGTACTCTTTTTCTGCCCTTTCCTTTCTCTCTACATGATCTTTTCCACTGTTAACCACAAAACCACCAGCCGCCACTCGGAGACCCTGTACAGGGTCACTGAGTCAGAACCATCTCGATGACAGTATACAACAACGATGCTTAGAATGCCTTTTTGTCTGCTTTTGGTTCCTAGACTACTGCCATGACGCAGTTCAAGTTCTCCCTTCTTCATGAAGCTCTCAGAGATTAGCTAGCTCAAAGTGTTTTTGTCCTCTTTAAAAATTGAACATGCTGTTCCTGTACTGGTTTGGCCAATGAGACACACTGCCTTTTTAGCATCAGTTGTAGTTTTATATTGATGTTCAATTACATAATTTAGTTTTCTAGTTGTTTATATCTTCTTTCCCTTCTTAGATTGGAAGACAAGGACCATGTTATATATTTTTTGTTGTTGTTAAGTGTGTTCGAATCAGTTCCGACCCATAGCAACTCTGTGTAGGGTTTCTGAAGAGCAGCTGGTGAGCCTGAACCACCAACCTTGCGATACAAACTGACTTTGCAGTACAGCGCACCCAGGGCTCCATGTTATATATAGCATATATATACATATCTCTCTCTATATTCACACATGTATATGTACACATAGAGACATGTAACCATTGTATTGATTATTAATATGAGCTAAATATATTTTTTTGAAACAGCTTTACAATGAGTTACATATTTGTTTTGAAACCACAAAATCAAGTGAAGCTAACCTCCGGCAAAGTGTTGTTAATCTTCAGGATCAGCTATTTCAAAAGGAACAGGAGAATGCGAAATTGAAAGAAGAACTTCAGGCATCTCAGGGAACACCTTATCCTTTACCTCAAGAAATGGAATCAGATCACTCACAACAGGTAAGAGAGATTTTCTAAAAATATTAAAACCAAAACCCAAATCCATTGCCGTTGAGATATGAACTCGGTGTGACGCTATAGAAAGCAGACTGCTCCATCTTTCTCCTGCAGAGGGGCTGGTGGATTCAAACCCTAGACCTTGTAGCTAGCAGCCAAGTGCTTTAATCACTGCATTATCATGGCTCCTTCCCTAGTGTAATATCAAATTCAATCATCTCCTACAATTGACTAAAACCTGAAAGCTTTAAATGTGCTTATATTGCAATATAAATGATGGCAGATAGCTTTGTATTGTACCATTTCGTGTTCTTTTTGGAAATGAATGTTATATACAGTACAGAATCATTTAGAAATGCATGTAGAAGTTCAGGGTCTATGCAGTATACTAAGGTGAGTTCTTTGGCTTATTTGCATTCTTTTAGAGCAGATTAATGAACTGTGTTTATATTGAGATTTCCTCATGGGAAGAGATAATGGAATGGAAAGAATACTGAATAGGGAGTTGCAGTGCTGTGGATTACGTCATACGGCTCTTTGACCCAAAGTCTTTGTAACTTCCGCCAAGCAGCCTTTTTGCCTTGCTAGATCTAAGAGAAGGTGGGAGAAGATGCTACAGGATTATATGATTCAGTTGTGAATAGTTAACAGAGTTAACTGTGATTATAAAAACCTGGAACTCGAATGTGTATAAAGTGAGTCATCTCAGAAGCAGGAATGTGGAGGATCTCACTATTATCAAGGAAGATGAGCCAGGTGGGGAGCATGTCCTTTGAACCCTGCATTGAACTACCTCGACCCAGGGGCAGAGATTTGTGACACTGAGGGAGTGGCAGAGGAGCAGCAGCGGCAGAACCAAGAACCAGAGCACATGACAGAACGGTGGACTTCCCATGCTATGGAGCAAGTAAAGCTCAGTACCTTTGGGCAGGGAGGCTTGCTTGCAGAGTGGGGTGCCTCCAGGCACTTAATTGAGTAAGCCAGATGTGCTGATCTACAAAGCCAGAACTGAGTGTTTGCAGACTCAGGCTTGTGGTGGAGTAATGTGTCCTGGGGACCTTTATCCTCAGCCCTAGAAGAGCGTTGTTAACATTACCTGGATAGAGAGAGGCCTACCTCTGAGTATGACCGAGCAGAGGCTGTCTTGCTTGAAACACCTGTGCCCTGTATGTTTTCTAATACTGTGTTGACACCTGTTCACTTCCCTAATAAACCGCATGATGTGAGTGTGCTGAGTTCTGGGTGACCAGTGCAGTGACTTATTAAACCTAGAAGAGAAATAGAAGGTATTGTGTGATGAATGACATGGTGCTCTTTTTTTTTTTTTTTTTTTTTTAAAGGAATCTATTGAAGTACTTGCCTTGAAGTCTGGAATATGACACTTAATAACTGTTAGTCCCATTTTGGCACAATCTTGATAGATGATTTGGAACAGGTCATTTGATCTTTCAAGCTATTCCTGATACAATTCAGTGATGTAAAATATATATATTGTTGTTGTTGTTAAGTGCCACGGAGTCGGTTCCAACTTATAGTGACCTTTTATAGGGTTTCTGAGGAGCGTCTGGTGAGCTTGAACTGCCGAACTTGCAGTTTAAACAGACTTGTGGTCCAGTGCTTTCTCCTACAGTGCCACACCAGGACTGCAAACACACGCACATGCGCACACACATGTATGTTTGTTGAGTGCTATGGAGTTAGTTCTGACTCATAGTGACCCTTATTAGGGTTTCCAAGGAGTGTTGTGAGTTTGACTCACAGGTCAATTTGAACTGCCAATCTTGTGGTTCAAACCGACCTTGCAGTCTAGTGCTTTATTCCACAGCACCACACCAAGACTATGCATACACACAAACACAGCACTTAACAACACAAATATGTTGTTTTCTCAAAGAGCTGACTCAACACCACCTAACAACAAGAATATATGGGGGAGTGCTGGAGGCTAAACACAAAATCAGCAGTTCAAACATACCAGCTGTTTTGTAGGAGAAAGATAAGGCTTTCTGCTTCCACTAAGATTTGCAGCCTTGGAAACCCTATACAGACTAGATGGCACCTAACAACAACATATATGTGAACACACACACACATACATACGAGTTCTGTGATGCTGTACGACAAGCACTGGACTGCTAACCTCAAAGTCAAAAGTTCAAACCCACCAGCTGCTCCTTGGAAACCGTATACATGGTTGTTTTGAGTCAGAACCAACTTGATGGCACTTAGCAATATTGTTCAGATACATTTAGGATCAAATAAAAACTCTGCCCCTGAGCTTTGTAAACTTAAACACAATTTTAAACCTGTTAGCCAACATTTTCTCATCTGTAAAAATACTGGTATTAAAGGTATGTATGGCAGGCAGTGTGTAGAGATGATGCACGTCAGGTACAGAGCTTGACACATAGAAAATGTTCACATGTACCCCTCTTAGATCATTTTCAAGGTAACTTTCAGCTCTAAATTTGTTTCTTTTTTTTTTTTTTTTTTAAAGTTTTTATTGTGAATTGAGTAGAAGATTATAGGACAAATCATCAGTTTTACATTCAACAAATCATATACTTTATTTCATTGGTGGTTATGTGCCATGGAGTCAATTCCTACTTGCGACGTTGTACAGGGTTTCCAAGGCTGTAAATCTTTACAGGAGCAGAAAGCCTCATCTTTTTCCTATGGAACAGCTGGTAGTTTTGAACTGCTGACCTTGAGGCTCGGACCCTGATTTATAACCACTACACTACCAGAGCTCCTTACTTTGTTGCTTTACAATGATAATAATCCCCTCCATGCACTATCAGTTAACAGTATTTATCTCTATTCATTTTAGCTCTTTTTTTAAAAAAAAAACTCTCAGGCATTTACAGCACCAAAGGGCACATTCTTCTACATTTCTTTTAAAAAAAAATCTTCTATTTCTCTAAATTATTGTTTTAAGGTACTCCTAGCATTAAAAAAAATAATTTAACAATTTTGTTTAAAATTAGGATCCATACAAACAAGTACTTGGGTGTTCAAATATTAAATGATTTTCCAAAGTAATTTCCATTTCTGTTTGTTGTGAATTGGTTGAAGGTTTACAGGGCATATCAGATTTTTGTCCAACAAATGGTTCATACACATTTTGTTTCATCTCATTGATTGCAATCCGCAGGACATAGAATCACTTATCCCTACTTCCGCCCGGTGTTTCCTATTCTCATTCCTCCTTCCATCCTAGACCTTCTGAACTTTGTCCTTGGGTCAGTGCTGCCCTTTGACCTTAAATTGTTGATGTTTACAAAATTCATCTAAGTTATTTGGTATGTTGTTATTGTTCTATGCTGTACAGTTTCCATGAAGTGACTGGTGATTTTGAACTTCTGACCATATGGTTCAAACTGACTTGCAGTCCAGTGCTTATCCTACAGCACCACACCAGAACTCCATTATTTGGTATAGCTGTTTGTTTGTTTTTATTTGTTAATATATTATATATAAATATATCATAACTACTGTTCCATTTTTCTATAATTTAACATTCTTGTGATTTCCAGTTTATTGCTGTTATAAATAATGCTGCTTCGACATTTTTGTACATGACCTCTTGGTATATGTGCATGTGTATTTTTGCAAGTGAAACAGTGGGTTTTAGGATTTGAAAATTTTGCTTTCACAAGATACTTATAAATTGTTTTTCAAAGTGGTTTTACCAATTACACACTCACCAAGTATGTATAAGAGATCTGATTGGTTCTCATTTTCCTAATTCTTGGCATTGTCAGACTTCTTAATTCCTTGCAGTACATATTGCTGATAGAGTATCTCCTCAAATGATTGGGAAGTCTAATTTTGTCCTCTTCTGAAAAAAATATCTATTCACATGTTTTGTGTATTTTTCTGTTAGATTTTTTTTTTTTAAATAATGACTTATAAAAAGTTGTTTCATATAAAGTCTTTGTTACTAATGTGGGAATTAGTTCAATGTATTAGAGTTATCTTACCATGTGTCTTATTTTTTTCATTTAAGCTAACATTTTTGTTGTTGTTGTTGTTGTTAGGTGACATTGAGCCGGTACCCTCTCATAGAGACCCTATGTACAACAGAAGGAAACACTGCCTGGTCCTGGGCCAACCTCACGATCGTTGCTACGCTTGAGTTCATTGATGCTGCCACTTTGCCAATCCATCTCACTGGGGTTCTTCCTCTTTTTCTCTGATCTGCCGCCTAACCAACCATGATATCCCTCTCCAATGACAGGTCCCTCCTGACAATATGTCCAAAGTATGAGAGATGAATTTTGGCCATTCTGGCCTCCAAGGAACACTCTGGCTGCACTTCTTCCAACACAGATCTGTAGGTTCTTTTGGCAGCCCACAGCACTTTCAATATTCTCCTCCAACACTATAACTCAAAAGCATCAATTCTTTATGGTCTTCCTTATTCACTGTCCAGCTTTCGCATGCATATGAGGTTATTGAAAATACCATGGCTTGGGCCAGGCTCACCTTAGTTCTCAAGCTAACATCTTTGCTCTTCAACATTTTAAAAAGGTCTTTGTGCAGCAGCTTTGGCTGATGCAATACATTGTTTGATCTCTTGACTGCTGCTTCCA